CTCCCGGGGAACATCAGCCATTTTCCTGCCCGGTGGCAGCCCCGGGGCCAAGGGGAAGCGGAGAGCATCGCTCCATGGTCCCCGCACTGCGCAGCAGCTTCACCCGGTCTCTACGAAGGGCAGGTGGTCTGGCATATGTGACAACAGGCTGTCCCAGCGGGAGGGGGACACAGCGCTGCCCATGCACTGGGAAACTCCTGTCGTGGAGATTTTCCAGCCAGGTGCAATTTCTTACCTTTCCGCTGAGAAAGGGAGAGGGGAAGCTCCAGGGAAGAGGGCCCGGAACGTCGCTCCCTGCATGCTCTGCCCCGAGCCATCACCCACCAACGCCAGCTGGCAAAAGCGTCATCAGGATGCCGCAGTGTTGGTCTGAAGGGGAACCACCCACCTCGCAAAATGTGCAAAGCTTGAAAATGTCTTTATAAGAAGTTGTTTTCACCGAGTTCTGTTTTCCCCTGGTCTGGGAGCATGGCTTGTTTTAGTTGCTTACACACACCCTGAGAAACAGCTATCAGTAAAAGGTGGTGTGATGAGCAATGTTTTTCTTTCCCCCCAAAAGTGGTGAATAGTGCCAATAAGCAACCTTTGAGGGTGCTTCCCGTTTGGGCACAGCCCAGCAGTGCCAAGAAACCACTGGTGGGTTGGCTGGTGGCAACGCATCTCAGAGCCTGGGCGAGGGGCTCCTCCAAGGGCTGCAGCCCCCAGCCCCGTCCTGGAGTCTCCCCTGTGCCACCTTTGCACAGCCCACCAGTGGCGGACTATATGCGGGGGACTCTTTATCAGGAAGTGTAGTGATAGGATGAGGGGCATCAGATTTAAACTGAAAGAGGGTAGATTTAGACTAGATATTAGGAAGAAATTCTTTACTCTGAGGGTGGTGAGACACTGGGACAGGGTGCCCAGAGAACTTGTGGTGTCCCCATCCCTGGAGGTGTTCAAGGCCAGGTTGGACAGGGCTTGGAGCAACCTGGTGTAGTAGAAGGTGTCCCAGCCCATGGCAGGGGGGTTGGAACTTAGTGATCTTTAAGGTCCTTTCCAACTCTTAACTGTTCTATGAGCCTATGATATGCAGCAGCAGCCCATATGTGCAGGTCCACCGTGGTGTGCAAAGGCAAAGCAAACGCTGTCCCACCAAAAAGCCTCCCTGGGACGTGCTGAAGGATGCAGGCTGGCAGCCCACACGCCGCTATTTCATTGTGGTCACTCCATCTCGCTGCTGGATGGGGCGGTCCCTCTGGATGTGCTGGTTTCCAGCCTCAGCACCAGCCCGTCGGGCGCTGGCTGGGAGCCGTGTGGAAGGAGCACGCAGGCTATAGGTCAGTTGTTGTTATTTCATTCAGCCAGTTGCTTTTCTCGGGTGGAAAATCCCTGCTTGGAGAGCTGGAGCCCAGGCAGGGCAGGCAGCGGGCAGCCCACAGGCAGGGAGGAGCTACCAACATCTCCCCTCGCACTGGGGACAAGAACGCTGATGCCCATCGGTCAGAACAACTTTACGGGGCCCACCAGCAGAGACGGCCCCAAACTGGAGCTGCTAATAGGTTTGCAGCACAGGAGATGCCAAAATTTCCCTGGTTCCTGTCCAGCCGCAGGTGCTGGCAGGCAGGACGCTGCCCGACCCAGGGCAGGGTGAGCAGTGCTCCTCTGCCGGGTGGGCATCACCGGGCTGTGCCCGCAGTCTTGCTCCTGCCACTGGTGTCAGGGCTGGGCAGAACCATCATTTCAGGCCAAGCCTTAATTAAGGAGCCACATTGGCCATGTCTGCCAAAGTCCTTCTGCCGATGTGCCTTAACTCAGCCCAAGACAGTGGCACGCGGTGAGCCCCGCACTGCGCACGGCGTGGGGGCAACCGAGTGTACCGAGTCCTGGTGGTAAATTTACTCACTACCTATTAACTGCTATCTGCAGACGCCATAAACATTTATGATCCCGTAAAACAATGGACCCGATATTCTTGGGGGAGACAAAAGCAATATTTCGCTCCTTGTGGTGTCGTCTGCTCTGTATTTTGAGCAGAAAGTGTAATAAAAAGAGCAGGATACAAACTACCATCTGCAAAAGATGAATAAAACCCAGCAAGGCGAGGGAGGTGCTGAGCTGGCCGGGGCAAGGGGGGCTCCTGCAGCTGAGGCACCGACTGAGCACACAGGGAAGATGTGCTGAGCTCCTCCTTTGGTCATCAGCCCCCCCGATTACCTATTTGAAATGAGTTTTTCAAGGAAGACCAGGAAAATTAGGTACCTCATTGCCGCTGGTGTAACGAGTATATAACTTGGGAGATCCCAAACTCAAATCCCCATGTTTCAGCTTTTTTTTCTGCATAATGGGAAGTTTCTGATGCCCTTCTAAGAGATGTGAAACCACGGCGTACAAATCCAGGGGCTGCAGAGGCGAAGGGCTCGCTCTGCTGAGCTCCTGGGGACACGGGGGCTGCGGGGCTGAGTAACGACACACGTACACGTCGCTGTGGTCCTGCAGGTTTGTCTGTCTCTGGACACGGGCTGGCTGCGCTCCCGGCCAGGACGGGCAGCGGGGAGGGGAAGCAGAACCAAGCGAGGAGTACAGTTTTGAGTCCCTGCTCAGAGGTAGCTCGAGCCAGGACTGCACACTGGTGTCCCACGCAGGCTAACAAGCCACTAATGAGTGTCCCACTAACAGCTTTCCCCTTTGCCCTCACAGAAAATGTCACCCAGCTGATCCCCGAGCCGGGCAGCCTGCTGCACTCGCGGGTGCTGCAGTACCGGGAGCTGCTGGACTCACTCCCCATGGACGCCTACACGCACGGCTGCATCCTGCACCCCGAGCTCACCACCGACTCCATGATCCCAAAGTACGCGACCGCTGAGATCCGCAGTAAGTCGCCTCTCCAGCGGGGCTGCCCAGGGCCGGCGCCAGCGGGACGGCTCCCCCAGACCTTGCTTTAGGCTCAGGTTGGCTCCGCAGCCCGGCCGGCCACCCTGCTCTTGCTTGTCTCCTCTTTCCACCAACACAGGCAGGGACAGAGGTGGGAAACAACAAAGCACAGCTGATTTGGGAGCTGCAGGCACCCTGTAGAGGCTTCCTAGCCTTAGGGGTGTCTGGGCTCCCATGTGCAATACGTGCTTCTCGCCCAGCTCTTTGTAGGGCACATGAATTTTCCCCCTGTCCCGCACATCCCCTCTCCCTCCGATAGCTCTAAGGGCGAAGGTGGGGGACTGCAGCCAGATTGAGTTGCAGATAGTGGATGAATCGGCATAAGACTGTGTACCTGACCTTCAAGCGCTCATGAAACATTGACGATGCTTAATATAACTCAATGGCAAGGATCGCTCCTGGAGAGAGTCCCTCGCCAGAAACGTGACCTTGTGAGGAGGGCACTGGCGTGCCCCACGTCTCTCCCTTTCTTTAGGCTCTGACCCCACGCAGCACCCGTAGCAAACGCCGTTCACTCCCACACTCCCCGCACTGTCCCTTCAGCTCTGCAAGCCACGGTTGGTCCCTCTGAAACAGGATGCATTCATGCACAAAGAGAAATAGGCTGTTCCTGAGGTGTAGCTCATGGTCTGCCCTACCTCTGCTGGCACCCTGCGCAGGCAGCTTTCCCCGTGTCACCAAGTGTCACCTCCACCCCCCAAGCCCATCCCCTTCCCGAAGGGTGCTGCTGCCATGGCTTCAGAGCCACCTGCCTCGCATCACCACCCCAGCGCTCTGCTGAGGTCCTTAAAAATATCTCATCATCTAAACCTCCTCACTGGTGGCATTTGTCCCCAGCCGCCATGAAGGCAGGGCTGTGGACATATCCGTGGGGTGCCCCAGGGCTGGAGGTGCCCTTCCTCCTCGGGACATCCCCTACACCCAGGCGGTGTCTGGGCTGCCCTGTTGCAGCGAGTGCCAAGGCAAATCCACGTAGTTGTGTTCCAAGGAGGGGCTGAACCGAGGGCCAGGCTCTCCCAAGGGAAACAGGGAACAAAACCCCGGTGGTACCCAGGCTTCCCTCTGAGTTACAGCCCCGGGGGATCCTTAGCTGGGAGTTGTGAGCACAAGCTTCAAGGCTCGTGGTAGAAAAGAGGGAGTTTCACCATTTTGTGGCAGTGTACAGCCCTGGCCAGCCCCGGCATCTCCCGTACCTGCACATCGGCAGAGCCAAGCCCTTGTCGGAGGGAACAAGGAGGGAGAGACAGATGGTCTCTGGCAGGCAGAGATTAACCCAGCTTCGCATAATTTACGTCCCTAAGGTGTTACTCTGCATCTCGTATTCTCTTCTTCCATTTACTCTGCTCCTTTCCCTCCGTCAGCTCCCTTGCACAAAGCCCTTCACATCCTCCCCGCACCCTGGGAGGGAGGAAGGTGGGTGTTTCTCCTGCACTTGCAATGGGCTCCACACTACCGAACTGCATCCCGGACACCGAGCCAGGACAGCTTCATTTGGGAGGGAGCATCCCCTCCCATGCCGTTCCCTGCCATGCTGCTCTGCACGCACACCCACGCACAGGCAGCTGACTCAGACGTCCCAAAGGATCTGCTGGGGCTGGAGCTGCAGGAACCAGGTTATGGAGCTGCAGGAACCCATGGGGAAGTCAGGGCTGTTCTTAGAAAAAGTAAGAGCCAGATAGAGACAGTGGTCTGCTGGCAGCTCTAATATGAATCCAGCAGAGGAAATGAAGAGCTGAGACTCCCCCTGAAACCCGCAGAGCTGGGACTCACCGAGGGCGGGGAAGGGGATCTGCTGTGCCCCACAGCCAGTGCTGCCCGGCCGTGAACGGATGGGAGGGCTGAAGAAGCCACATGCCCTCAGGAGGGCGTGCGATGCCCTGGCAACCCGCTCCTATGGCAGCACAGTGGCAGCAAGCCATGAATTTGGCCCATTTTAGCTCTCTGGGGTGTTTTTCTTGGTGCCACAACACTATTTTGCATGCAGGACAAAATGCTTTGCTACCAGACAGAAGGTCATCTCTACCCCCGCCAAACACAGCCCCCCCCAGCTTCTCTGTCTGTCTCCCCCCAGGACATTTAGCTAATGCCAGCACGGACCTGATGAAGCTGGACCACGAGGAAGAGCCACAGCTATCAGAGCCCTACCTCTCCAAGCAGAAGAAGCTGATGGTAAGTGGGTCAAAGCCACACACATCTGTGGTGGTGGGGGGGACATGACCCATGGACCTTCCATGGGCACCTGGTGCCTCGTGTCCCTGCATGGTTGCAGGTCCATTCATTCATCCCCAGTCATAACCCTGCTCTACACCCAGGCCAAGATCCTGGAGCACGACAACGTGAACTACTTGAAGAAGATTCTTGGTGAACTGGCGATGGTGTTGGACCAGATTGAGGCCGAGCTGGAGAAGAGGAAACTGGAGTACCAAGGTAGGCACTGGGCTGTGTTTATGGGGTGTTTTTCCACATGAGACCAAGGTGCAACACCAGGAACAGCCGATGGCTTTGCACCTGATGAATGTTCCCCACATGGCAACCACCGGTGGGACTGGGGCTGCCACTGGGCTCTCCTCTTTTTGGCTGCACCCATGCCACTGCAGCCGTGGTCTTGATAACCTCCAGCAAGCCAACCCTTGCCACAGGGGACAGCAGGACCCCTGTCCTCACGGCTGCTCTGTGGGAGCTCCAAAGTCATCACAGGGTGGTGGCGGGTCCCCTCTGCCCCAGCAAAGGGCTGCCGGTGGCTGCTTGAGGAAGGACCGGTCTGGCCCCAGGCTCTTGCACCACAAGGGGCACAGACTGACAAAAGCTCTGGGCTGGGGACGTGTCCCGCAGCCAAGCCCCCTCCAGCCACGGGGCTGCGGCACATCCCAGCAGAGCGCGGGCAGGGAAATCTGAAGGGAATTTGAGGGGCCCTGGAGGGGTGGGAGCCTTCACAGGACCTGCGTCAAACACCAGCGGGTGGGAGAGAGCAACACCAGCCCTCCCCGACATCAAATACACGCTGCTGGGTGCCTGCCGAGAGCCACCCCGGTGCCCTGGCAGACAGGGATGCATGGGCACAGCTGGACGTCGCTTGTCCTGCCATCACCCCGGGATGACGCCATCATCCTCCCGTCCCCGCTGCCCACAGGGCTCATAACCCCAGACCCAGGACGGCTGGTAGCCGCCACCGCCGCGGTGCCAGGTCCGGAGCAGAGCCCCGATGCAGTTAATCAGGGGATGGTCCCGCAGCTGCCCCTGCCCTCGGAGCTGGCCTTGGCCACGGGGAGCCATGCGTCACGCTCAGGGCTGCACCAACGAGCCCTCGGAGGTGCCAAGGTCCAGCCCTGCAAGGCACTGGGTTGGGGATTTGCTGAGAGCCCTGATGGATTCGCAGTGGCACCCTGCATGGCCCTAATTGCCTCCAACGAACACCCTCATTAACTGATCCGAGAGCTGGGGTAGCTCAGCAGAGTTCAGCCTAATGAGGTGCCCTCAGAGGACATCCCGGGTGCCTGGAGCAGAGCGGTGGCTGCTGCTGGCACCCAGGTGCTCTACTGCCTTTGGTCCTTGCGTGCTGCTCCCGTTCTCTGCTCCGGGCCCCCAAAATCCCCTCGCCGTGCCCACAGCCGGGTCAGGATCTCAGCAGTGGGCACAAGCATCAGCCCTTTGGCAACCTCCCAGGAGCCGCAGTGCAGCAGCTCTCCTCCCACGCAGCCCAGGCTGCCGGCCCCGGAGCGCAGCGCAGCGATGCGGGCAGGGCAGGGCAGGCAGGAGGAGGGTGGGAGATGCTGCAGGAGCACAGGGTGACCCCCTGGCCACAGGCACCCTGTCGGGCTGGGACAGGCTGATCCGAGCTGGGGCTGCTGCGGATGCAAAGGGGACGAGTTGTCCTCACCCACGCTTCTGCCCCGGGGTACCCCACAGCACCCACGTCCAGACCTCAGCAGTGGGTGCAAGCCCAGAGCCAGGAGGGGTAGGGCCAGATCACGGCGCTCTCCCGAAATCACCATCCTCATGTCTGCTTTCTCCTTTGCCCCCAGCAGTGCCCAGGAGGGAGGCAGACACCTCAGCCCCACCTCTCTTACCTCTGAGCCGGAGCATCCTCAGGGTCCCCGGAGCACCCAGGAGGCTCCAGCTGCAGCACCCCCACAATTCATTAGTCACTGAAAACATTTATTGACTAATTAGGCACAGGCAATCTGTCCACTTGGGCTGTGCCTCTAGCAGGATCAGGCAGGCTGCCAAATGAGGGCTGCTAATTACCAGTAATTCCCCTGACCTGGCCCTGCAGGCAGCACCAGGGCCTGCACAGGGGGGGCAATAACGGTGCTGCTTTCTCCCTCCCAGATATAATAGCCACAGGACAGTGGAAGAGCTCCAAAGTTAAGGATTTTGTGCGAAGCCAGGGGCTCATGCTGGCTGGGGACAGGTTTTGTGCCCCTTCTGCTGTTCTTCCCTACCTCCATCTGCCTTATCTGCATCCCAGCCCCGCTCCTTAACACTGAAGGGGCATCGGAGCAGGGTTTGACACCATCCTCGTCTGAGCCCGCCTCTTCCAGCCTAACAACAGCTTGGTGTATTTGTAGACATCTCTCTGGTGAGGTTATTTCCAGGGTCACCCCTTATCAGGGGCCATCAATGCTTTGCTGCCTGTCCTCATGCCCAGCATTCGCACCAAGCTCTGCCTCCCCCGAAACCTGGCTCTCAGCACACAAATGTGCTGCCAGTTTTGGTGTCCCAGAGCTGGGTCCCTGCTGCAGGAGAGGGGACAGAGGCAGGACCTCCCCGACAGCCCACAGGGAGAACAGCCAGGCCAGGCCAGCAAATGGTTTTGATTCCTGAGGATTTCTCACATCCCTAAAATAGGACAAGTTAACATGACACTCCCGAAACAGCTCCCCATGCAGACAAGGACAAATGCTGCTCCTGTCCCCAAGCACTAACACAGCAGGAAGGGGTCACCGTACCACATCTTCCTTCAAGGGAGGTCAAGGGCCCTTTTCCAGGGACCTCCTGGGTACAGAAGGATGCCACCTCCTGCTGCTCTTGGCTTGGGAGAGAGGCAACAGGGCCCTTTTACAGACAGCAATTTGTATGTTCACATGGGCTGTAAATGATCACTTCATATTCCCACCTCAGTGGCCCCACATATCCTCCATCACCTACCCTGGTAGATGGGATCTGATCTCTTGGGACATCACAGAGCTGAGAAAAAACACCCCCGGTCTAATGCAAACGCTCCAGCCCTCGTGGACCTTTTGAGCAAGCCTTTAGGTGCACACCCAAGCGTTTCTTCTTACCCTACCTGCTCTGTCGCTTTTCTCTCTCCAGGGCAGAAGTGTGAACTTTGGCTCTGCGGATGTGTCTTTACTTTGGCCGATGTCTTGTTAGGAGCTACCCTGCACCGCCTCAAGTTTCTGGGACTCTCTAAGAAATACTGGGAAGATGGCAGCAGACCTAACCTACAGTCCTTCTTCGACAGGATACAAAAACGCTTCGCCTTCAGGAAAGTTTTGGGAGATATACATACCACGCTCCTCTCCGCGGTGGTGCCCAATGCCTTCAGGCTGGTCAAGCGGAAACCTCCCTCCTTCTTCGGAGCCTCCTTCCTGATGGGATCTCTGGGAGGAATGGGATATTTTGCTTATTGGTACTTAAAGAAAAAATACATCTAGTGCTGGCTGCTTGGTGTTTAGTTTGGTGTCTCTGTGATGTGTGAAATTATGATGAAGCCTCAGTAACTGTAATGAAATTTGAAGCAAGGTAATGAATAATTATATTGTTTAATGTAACATTCCATAGTCTAGAAGTAGAAACGTATACTGCAAGGAAATAAGACAACAACAACAACAACAAAAAAAAAGCGTCAACTTGTAAATGCCTTTTTTAGATTTAAGTATTCAACTCCAGCGAGAGGCTCAGGGGTTCACGGGCTCAGCTGTGCCCACCGGGAAGCAACACCGCCTCCGGCACCGGCCAGCTCCAGTGGGAGAGACGGGAACCCCGGGAAGTTTCCCAGCACCCAAGTTAACTAATGGGACTCGGATACTGTAGGTTTGTGTTTCCAAATTGTTCCCCGGCCACATTTCACACATGCAGGTAGAGGTGACTTTGTTCTCCTAGGAGGCGTTGTGTTGTGCTCGGAGGCTTTCCTGGGAGCAGGGTGCAGTAGCTGGTCACAGTCAAGGTGGATTTGCGTTCTTCAAGTATCCATTTTTTAAATTATTTTCATTAAAAGGAGTATTTTTTATTGAGCTGCTCTTAGAATGTATCCACTTTCTACGTCTGGTTTTGGTGGGCTTTTTTTTAAAGAATTTAATGTCTGTCTTTAACTGCCGCACTTTTTTCCTGAGATAAATCATTTTGACTTCCATCCTGAATTTTGGCACATGAAGGAGATTATTGTTTTAAGCCTTTTGGCTCTGTCTCTTTGAGTTTTCTTTCACGGATTTGCAAAGCAACTTTCACCGACTGAGCATATCTGGACTCTGAAAAAGTACGACCATTTTCAGAACTTTTCAGCACTTTCCTGAAGGCACTTTGGCTTTCTCTTCCATCGGGGGCTCTTTTCTGTCATTTCCTCGCTGTGTGTTTTCTTAGAGACACTTTGCACAGAATCACATTGATGACTTTCTTGTGCCTTTTGCATGTTGGAAAGAATAACGGGCCTCACTGCTACTCATGCTTTGAAAACTGAGATCCTCAATAAACCATATGGGAGGAGTAACGGCTTCACATTTCTAAATGTGTCCAACATCCCTCTAGCCTTATTTCGAAGCATGCCCACGGGCAGAGGGATGTGCAGGTGGTTTGTGCTTTTTCTCATGTACTGCATTGGTATAAAACTCGTGTGGAAACAATGCATATCCCTTTTCCGAGGCACTCATTTCTGTAAGCGCTCAGCCTGCTAGGATCTCCTCTGGCTGGTTTTCCAAGCGCTCCGGTGATCCCTAGCGAGTCACGCTGCATCTCTCGGCTCGGGAATGTACGCCAAGCGTGGCTGAAACAATACAAATTGCATTTGCCTCCAACTCAAAAATTAGCCGTATGTATCTGAAAGCAGCAGGATTTCCCAGGAGCTTTGGTTCTTGACGCAACCTGGCAGCCACAGAATTGTGAATATTTAGCAGGAATTACAAGGGATGAGCACACAGAGATTAGACAATGGGCGAACTTACGCTGTGCTTGTCACAATTGTGCAGGCTGGTCTGACATATTTCTGGAATACAGTGACCTGTGTAGCTGCAGAGGTGTTGTGTTATCCGTGTTACCCCCAGTGATTAGGGCCACACTTAAGACTGGCGTGTGAGAACCCAAATCCACCACCCGCCCGTGCAGACCGGGCACCTGCAGCCGAGCTGCTAAGTGAAACCTTACAGACACATACTCCCCAAAATACAGTTACGTATTTGCTTTGTGGAATCAATGACTTTGGAAAAAATAGTTATTTTTCTTCTTTTTGGAGAGGGAGGCAAGAGGGTCCTCTGAGCTCATCCCTTTTGCTGAACCTGAAAGATGTAAGAACACACACGATGACCAGTTCATCTGGTCCATTAGCTGGTACTAAACTCCCCAAAAGAATTTATAAAGATACACTGACGTGAAACCCTTACCAGGATTTCACCCTTTTACCTCTGTCCGTTGTCCTACACACACTCCCTGGTGATCTCCAAAAGCTGATGATACAGCTTATTCTGTGGAAAGCAGTATCACCGGAGGTAGAAGGCCAGGAAACCCAGACAGAACGAGAGCAAATACTCTCTCAGTTCCCAGGATTTCAGCCCAAGAATGAGGCAGAAGGAAGCTGCTTAGCAAGACTGCTGCTGGTTACTTTGCTCCATGGTTGGTTGGGGTTATTTTTAAACCAAAGAATAAAATTTTAAATCACGGAGCAAATCAGAACTCTAAACACCGGAGAAAATAGGTGTTTGATTTGCTTTGGAGCACACGGTTAGAATGTGACTATGAGAAGGAAGCCAGCCAGAGGCAGCAGCTGGAGCAAGGCGTGGGTCAGTTCGGACCAACACACGAGAGCTGTCAGTCGTGTCACTTCGTGGGCTGCTGAGAAGGCACAGATGCTGCAGTGATGAGTTTTGTACCAGTTCTCAGCTAGGACTATTCACTAACACGCCTTTGTTTTGGACCAAATTTAAAAAAAAAAAGCAAAAAAAAAAAAGCAAAAATGAGTGGAGACAGTGCCACTCCCTGACGCTGCGCCCTGTTTCCCTGCCGTGGTAATGAAAAAATACCAGGACTTTGCTCCAGGGAAAAGCAATCTGTGAGAGCGATAAAAGACAATTACTGTGACACAGGCAGAGGCTGGATTGATGTTCAAGACCATGCTGAAACAAACCGGGAGATGAATGTCACCACCCCAATCGATCCATGTTAGCCAATTACTATAAGCAGCCCTGTGGTGATTACAGGCTGTCATAGAACGTTGCTTTTGCTTTAGCTGATCTGAACCTAATCAGACTTTTTCTGCTCTAGTTCCACTTAAAAGGGGAGACCCCCACACTACACTGCCGTAAGCCAGGCAGCGGTCTGATGCTCACTGCCCAAGGCACTTTCTGTACACAGAAATACAAAAATGACAGCAAAAATCTGCTTTCTCACTGTAGGATTTTACTGTTCGCTCTCAGCAAGGTGTGGGGTAACAGAGGCAACCAAGGGGTAAGGCTAGAAGGTGAGGCACCTCGGAGATACTATTTGGAGCAAACATCTGCTCTGGGACACCTTAGGATTTGGGACACTGTAGGATTTGCCGCTGAGCAGTTCTGTAGCAACCGCTACCACTGAAGCCCTGGCATGGCTGTACTAGAGGACAGAGGGAATGGCTCATGCGGTATCTTGCACCAAATCCTTCTGTGGACCCGACCCCAGTCAGGGTCCTTCTTCAGATACATACTCTATATGTACTTATTTACCCATCAAATTTTTATCCTTCAAAATCTCTGTGTTTTAGGGGCAAAGGTGCTTTTAGGCACCTCAGGGCCATAAAATCTGTATCTGTGATGAAATGTGGAACCTTTAATTATCAGAAGGGAGAAAATCAGGGGCTACTTGTCAAGTCCAAGCCCTTCTGAGCACTCTGAGATGGAGCTGCATGACACTGAGCGAGCTCACAAGGAGCACTCCTTCCCTCCTCCCTCCCCAGCCTCCTGTTTAATAGGCTCCCAATGGTCAGATTTGTAGAACTACAGCTTCCGAAATCTTTTTACTCCTACAGGTTTTGCTCAAAAGACTCAATTATGAAAATGGAGAATGTACGTGTCAGTCTTGCAGCCGGCTGGCAGCTTCTTCTGTGCTTGTCAAGGGATGGAGAGGACCTCTCCATGCAGAATAAAAGATTTCCAAGTCAAGCTTGCCAGAGGACAGGGAACGCACCACAGAGCCTGTCTGTCACAGGTTGCCAAAGAAATCGAGATCAAGGGCTGTCTAAGAATACCTAGTGATCATCCCATGGCCCTCTCAGAAATTAATTGCTGAGCCTTGCTCTGTTTCTGAATGAAAAAACCCATCCTTACCACCCAACTGCGATTTCAGCAGCCTGGCTAAGGAGGAAAGGGGGATGGTGCAAGAGCTGCTCCTTCAAGCGAGGGAAAACTCTCTTTCTGCTGTGAAAATAAATTAAGGACTTCCCCACCTGAGAGCAGCAAATTGAAAACATTAGAGCTTGTGAAAATATTTACCATCAGGTTGTGTTTGGTTGCATTCACTGTCGTCATGGAGACCAAAGCCAAAACCACCCAGACTGGATCCACAGTGCAGGTAATGGCAGTACCTAAACCCCACAGGCTCCTGAGAGAGATATGGGATTAAAATAATAGGGGATAATATGATAATAGTATTTTGAGATGGCCAGGGGTAACATAAGATATGATAATATGGGATTAAAAACTGAATAACCAGAGATCCAAGAAATAACGTACTACCTAAGAGCTAACTACTGTAACCCCACACCTCCAGTTATCTGTGGCGTACCGGAGGATAAGAGGGTAATTTCACATCTGCTCATGCCATCAGCAAAGCTGCTATTACTACACAAGTCTGTAGAAAAGCTACTTCTGCCTTGTCGGGACAGAATAAAGGCCTCAGCCCACGTTCAGCACCTCCGCCCAGACAAAAGTTCAAACCCACAGGTGTGAATGGGAATGAAAACTTCTGTGTGTGTCTGTTGTGACCAGGGGCAGATTTCATACCCCTAGAGCACTCCCTACCGCATTCCCTCGGGGATAAGTCAGAGCCGTTTCAGGTTGAGCCGTTTCTAATACTGAATCTAAGGTTTTAAGCAGTAGTGAAAAAAACCCACCAGAACTTGTATTCTCAGATAAAGTGCATTCACGACAAACAAATTTCCTATTTTTTCCCCTCATGCTAATTTCCAAACGACATATTTACTATCACTGTCTTTTACTCTCTGTTTTACACGCTTTCCTCTGAAGGCTTCAACAGAGAGAAAAGAGTCTGCTTTAAATGCCTCACAGTGAAAGAAAGAATACCACATATGCCATAAATAATTTAGATGAACAATTGCTTTGTCAGAACACAAATGTCCATCACTGCAGCTGCAGCAAAGCAGAGGCTGCGGACTGCAGGAACCTGCCTGCTGCCGGCCAAGGCTCTCCCTGCAGACAGCAGATGCTGTTGCCAAAGCAGTTTATTTCTTTTTCCATGCGACTTTGATGCCGAAGAGCATTGATAAGCAAAGTGTCAACCTCTACCCACTCCTCAGGGGCTCACAATAGTGTTTTTTCCCTTTTTTGTCCTTCTCCTCTGCACAATGATCTACTTTTTTCCTTTCAGCTCTTTTTTTCTTTACTGCTCTCTACCATCCTACCCCTTTCCTC